TTAGGATATCTATAAAGAACAGTATGGAGAATATGCACACTCATCTGATGTTTAGCTGTTAAGGGTTAAGCTAGTAAATACCTTGGACTTGAACTATACATTGTATATGATAAGTATAGTTATAATCCTTAGAAGATGGGCTATAAAAAAACTAATTTACCTGAAAACGCAGCAAAACATAGTTCCACTTTGGAACATGGGAATTCTTTATCGTGGGATTTAAAATCCCATCCACAGACCTGAAAAAAATGAAGTAATGAGTAACAGGAATGAAAATATTTTTAAAAAAATAACCATTTCATTTATCATTGAATGAAAAAAAAAAACCACCAAATCAGAATTCACCAGTGTATCTTATGCGTCAATCAATTCAAAGCTTCAACATTCCGCAGCAAAACTCTCCCTGATTTATCTCAAGTCTCCCTGCAGGTGGGCAGAGAAACTTGCATCTTGCTGTGCAAATAAAGAGGAAGCCTGCTCACAAACTTCCACATACTTCAATTTCCATGAGGCATGCTGACAGATAAACAAATTGTTAATTTTAGCAAAACTGGATCAAGACTTACCAGTAACAGTTGGCATTGCTTAGGAGAAGCATCACTGAAAATAATCCATACAGATAGGAATGGTTATTCCAACGGGACTTCTCCAGCAGGAATATATACCAGTAGGTTATCAAGAAGGACAAGCAGCTTAAACGAAACATAAATCCCAAGAAAATTCCACAAGCTCCAAGGAACATAATAAGGTAAACAACATGCATCCAGTCAACTGCTAGAGGTTTGATGAAGTTGAACAGTGGAAAGTGGCAGGTGTCTCCTCCAAAGTGTGCCTCAATGAATAACATGCTGCGCTCTTGAGGAATGTCAACCATCATGAGCAATCCTGGAGAACAAGATCTCATTAGTAATTCTCCTTACTGTCTGCCATACAATTCTCATAATATTAGTTCTGACAATTTGGTATTGGATCAACTAATAATCCCCTGATTGATATTTTTCTTTATTCTAATAACTTGTCTGCTTAATACTGTATTGATATTGTAGAGGGAAATTCTATCTTGGTCACCTATGGGAGGTAATTTGAGCAAATATTAGGAATAGTGATAAGCATCTAATTTCTCCCAAAAGTGTCTACCCTTAATCAAACATTCAGGTCATGAGAATAAAAAAATGATCACCACCTAAAGGAGGACTTGATTGTTGAACAAATTCTCCTTGTCAGTACATAAGGAAATGTAAAAAAACAGTATGGAGAACAAGAAAACTGATAGAAATAGTAGAGATGGTAAGTTTTGATCTTGGTAAAGAATTAAGAAAGATGTTTTTTCATCTAATGTCACAAGCATGGGACAAAGAAAAAATTATGAGTCCCCATGAGGAATTGAATCTCAGACCTTTGGATTTGCATTCCGATGCTCTACCACTGAGCCACAGAGACTCTTTGTTGTAGACCTCGCTCACCGTAAAGTCTCTGTGGCTCAGTGGTAGAGCATCGGAGCGCAAATCCAAAGGTCTGAGGTTTGATTCCTCATGGGGACTCAGAATTTTTTCTTTGTTCCATGCTCGTGACAAGACAAAAAAACATCTTTCTTAAGAAAACTGATGTTTGCATTTAAGGGTTACCTGGTAGAGAAATTTACTATTATATATAAAATATGATCAGTAAAAACTAAACATACCAAATGCAATTCTCAACACAGCAAGATTGGATGGATCAGCTGGTGACAGCATAAACATCAAGAACTTATTCCACAAGCTTGGTTTCTCCTGCACAGCTGAACGAGGCTTCTTTTCTTCTGCTACTGCAACTACTTTACCCATTCTGAAAAACTATGATTTATTAAGATAAATTTATGTCTATTCACATTATTATTTGAAACACATCAGCCTGGCTTTATTAAGATATCATTTATGCTGGAAGTTTGAAGAGCATGAAAGATGCCCTTTAGAAATTCTTCCTACGGTCTGCCATACCCTTTCCTATGATATTACTTTGGAGAATTTGTTATTGGATCGTATCCTAATTAATCATTTATGTTATTCTCATCACTTATCTGCTTGATATTATATTGATTTGATTGTGAGGAGAAATTAAGTCCTGGTAACTCAAGGGTTCCCACGATTATTTGGACTTCTTCTTAACAACGTATGGAAGATGAGTATACAGCCTTCAAAATGTACTTTTTGGGTCACAATCAGTTATCACCTTTATTCACAATGGAAGACATCTACATCTGCAAGTTAAAACCATGTTTCTTTTCTTATCTTATCCTTTTTTTCCCTCAATTTAATTAAAACATTTCTCAGAAAAGACCACTGTGTTTTGAGTCTCCTCTCAAAACATAAAAAAACATTTGAAATCAAAATGCGCTTTAAATTAAATGAAAAAAAAATTATCGACAATTAATTCAATATTCACGAAATTAAATTGAGATTTTAAAAATTAATCGCGCTTGAATGAATTGTCTGCTCGTATACGTTACAGCTTCATAAAAGAGTAATGCAAAAATCGGATTGAAAATATTACCTTCTGACTTTTGCGTAGAGATTTCACACGCAAAAGTTACTGCTAACACAACGATCAAACGAACAATTTAGCCTCTTAAGTTTACAAATTGAAGAAGGTGCTTGGATCAGAAGACTAACGTTCAAAATATTATTTGTGCGGCGTCAATTTTAGGGTTGATACTCAACCGACAAGTCTGACGCGCTAAAAAATCAAAGATAATCGCTCAAAATAGTCTCAAATGACTTACCTTGTCCCAAGGTACCGTGCCGTAGGGATGTCTGATTCAAAGAAGCTCTATCTTTCAGTTAAATCAACTCTAATCCAATGAAAACAGCAGGGCTGTGACATTCAGCTGTCTATTTTTCTTTCATGAAACGCCCTTTTTATGATATTAAAACATCTGTCCAAGCATTATCAATAGTTTGCAAGGGCGCCATTTCCAACTTAAAAAAACTAGTTTCCAGTGTCTCTCGATCAGTGGATTAAAAGCTTAATTTTTCTTACAAAATTTTTAGCAAAATTCTTAACCCTAGTGCCTTACAAATATAGCAATAACTTTAATTCATTCATTTGCTTTCATTTACTCGGTTTCCCTCCCATTGTGAGGCAGAATTTATTCTGTTCAAGCCTTATTTTGTGAAGTATCTTTCACTTAAGCGTACACAACCCACTAACTCATAGAAAACAAAGAATATGGCGGCCGTGTCACAGTACTGGTCGAGACACAAGGAAAACTCTCCCCACGCGTGGTTTAAAGGCTGTATATTCCAGCATATATGGCGAGAAAAACAACATAGCTTTGCTTTAGGTGAGTGTAACTAATTTTTTGCCTCTTTGAGTAGCTTTAGTGTATTGGGAAAATTTTCTCGCCATGAAATTCATTTGTGTTGTGCCACAAATCACACGTGGTTACTGTGAAATCTGCAACGATGGAGGCTTTGATCAAGTGCATCGTTAGACAAAAAGAAAACATAATTAGTGAAGAAACGTGTCAAAGCTGAATGAGATTTGAAAACGGGATATATTTTTTAAGAGAAATGCAAGATGATGTTTTATTGAATTGCGAATTATAGTTAATGTTGAGAAAGGTTCTTTCCCCATTGATTGAGGTTTCACGAGCCAAGTATGGTTTAAAATATGCTTCCTTGAAAGAATGTGTTCTGTTGTAGTGCAATTTTATCCTTGGTTTAAAGTTTGTACTCTTTAACTTTGGGAATGGTTATCGTAATATTTTAGTTTTGAAAGATGGAAGGAATCAAACCAAATTGTACATTCCTTTGTCTTGCATTTTTTCGTAATCAGTCTTTGATAATCTATAAACTTAAAATTTGTTTCCTGGATTAGGTCAAAATAGATCATATCGCCTGCAGCACATCACGTATCTCACAAGAATGCTGCTGGACTGTTTACTGAGCCATAGATTTGATGAAGCCCTGGAGTGTCTTGTTGGATTATGTGGATTTTGTAGAAGAATACCTGAGCTGTTTTGGCGAGTGAGTTGCAACATATCCTATATATTAGTTTAACCCTTTAACTCCCATGAGTGACCAAGATAGAATTTCTCCTTACTATAACTATACAATATCATGCAGACAAGTGATGAGAATAAAGAAAAATATCAGTTATGGGACTACTAATTGATCCAATACCAAATTCTCCAAACTAACATAATGAGAATTATTTGGCAAACAGTAAAGAGGATTACTAATGAGATCTTGGGAGGTACAGGGATCAGTCTGTATTCAAGCCAAGTGACCCATCTAGCATGAGTTTATCCTGGTTTCAATAACTTGAAATGACTAGGAGAAGTAGGACACTCCCCTGGATGGGATGTCAGCCCATTACAGGGTAACCCCCCCCAGCATTTCATCAGGTGTCTATGACAGTTCACTGATACCCATTTATACAGCTGGGCGGAGAGAGGCATGGGGACAGTAAAGTGTCTTGCCCAAGAACACAACACATTGACGTGACCAGGTCTTGCAGCCAGACTCTCTACAGGGATTCCAGTGCACTGACCATCAGGAGTCTTTGTCCACTGTGTCTCTCACATTGTTTAAGTAGTTTTCTGAAAAAAGAAAAAAACTTGGCCAATTTGGGTGAAAAATTTGTTTTTCTAGTAAGTGACCAGTTACCATTTCTTGGACCCAGATCTCTTTGCTGTGGCATCCAGGCATCCATCATGTCTTTTACCATATACTTTTGAAGGTTTTGTTTACCTCTAAAATATTGAATTGTGATTGGATCAGTGGGCAAAGTAAAAAATTAGAACACTGAAGGAGATTGTTTGTCTAAGTTGTAGGACTCTGTGTAATCTGTAACCTCAACCATTTGTCAAAATTTTCCTTACAATTTAGGGACCAGTTATAATCCAATAGGGGAAGGGGTAGTTTTTTATGTCTATGAGGGGGAGGGCTTCATCATTCCCTCCCTTCTCCCACTCACACACATAATGACTGGTCTCCAGTTAAATATAACAGCAAAAAACAAGGAACTTTGCTTGACACTATTTTATTCTCCATTTGTGCTGTCCTATAAAAAGCATGAATAAGCTATTGGAAAACTTTTTAATAAAGGGGACAGTTTCTAAAGAAACTGTGGTGCTGCATTGGCAGGAGAGTATAACAGGGTAATTTTACATTAGTATTATCAACTGAGTTGATAACATAAATTGGCCGATGTTAAGAATTAAAAAGCTGATGTTTTGAACATTAGCAATTCTTCAGAGTGCCAATGAAGGATTAATGCTCAAAATGTCAGCTTTTAAACTTTTTACAATGGCCAGTTTACATCATCAACTTAGCTGATAATACTAAAATACCCCACTGGAAGTCTTAATTTTTTTTCTCTCAGTTTCATTTTGCAAGAGGGTAGATAAATAGTATTAAGCACTTAAAATGTTGAGGAGTTTTCAACAGGATTTTGTCTTTTTCCCAGCTTGTTCGCTCAGTGAAATATATCTTGCGAATTTTTTCATTTTCAGACAGGATCTGAAGTTCTGAAAAACTGTCCAGGAAGCCACATGCATATGATGCAATTCTTAAAAAACATGTTTGTAATTTGTGTGCCATTTAAAACCGAACTTCTGCTGGATCTTGCTATGTACTTGGTGAAACACAATAATGATATTACAGAAGCACAAGAACTTCTTACATCAAAACTTTCTCAAAAGCCATTCCTGTCAAGCCCTGTTCTTCAAGCTTATGCTGGACTCTTTGCATATATTCAATGGAAGAAATGCAAACACAGGATTGACAATAGATATTTAGAAAACGATGATCACAGTGATATGGATTTAACAGGAGGTGATAATAGGACTTATGCTGATCTGAAACGTCAAATGGATTTTCATGGGAAGAAGGCTCTGGTTTTTTTCGTCAACTTAGTCGAACATTGTGGTGTGTGGGACATCTTTATTACAAGACAAGTTGAGATGTTAAAATATTATGACATGGCTGATGAAGCAAAAAGTATCCTAGTGAAGTATAAGGAAAAAAATCCTGAAAACCCTAATTCACATCGGTAAGACATTGATAAAAATCTAACCCTTTAACTCCCAAGATCTGATTGTTAATTCTCCACTCTAGCTGCTACCAATTTCCTTGTAAATTAAATAGGAGAATTTGGTGTTAGATCAAGATAATAACTTCTATCTGATAAGTTTGAGTATTCTCATTACCTGTTTGCTGGATGATGTATCTATGTGAAAGGGAGAAGTTACATGTTTATCATTTTTGGGAGTTATAGGGTTAAGTGAAACAAAACATTTTCTTGTTAATATTATAACTTTCTCCTTGATATTTTTCTGCTTGATGTGGCACTCCAAATATATTACATAAGATGGTTTTTCCTGATACATTGAAAGCTTTCAATTGATAACCTGAATTTCCAGCCAAGGCAACATGACCGTTTTTCCATCTTGCACAATTTTCTGTTGTAACTCTGGTGGGTGTGTGACTCTGACGATGATTTCCACTCAGTTTGTCAAAACGTAAGACACCATTACTTACAACAATCCTCTTCACCTTTACAGTAAGCCCAGATAGTCAGGCCACAAAATCAAATGAGGCCTGTATCTGTTGATGATAAATATTTTGCAATAAATATTCATACTTTGTATTCTTCCTGGTGATTTTATAGAGATATCTATATGTTTTTGAACTAATTTTTGTATATATTTAGAACTGTAGATGATAAATGTTTTGTGATTGATATTAATACTCTTCACTCTTCTTTGTTATTTTACGATTACTTGGTTGAATCTTTAGCACAGAGGACCACTAGTTTATCATTTACACTGTCATGTGTTACCCTCTCCAATTTAAGTTGTTACTTACCTACTTACTTACCCAGAGGTAAGTAAGTAAAGTATTTGGATGTCTTATTGCATGATTCCATGTAGTAATAATTTTTGATGTTTTCACTTTTCATTTTTAATAGGTACTTATATTATTTTCTGAAAAATGAATGTGCCAGTAAGGAAGAACTATGTGCAGTTCTTGAAGGTCTGCTGAATGTTGATCCAACAAGTGAACTGAGCAAGGATTATATCAAGCTTGCTAAACACAAGAATGGTAAAAAATCTTAACACTTTACTACCTAACATCAGAATGCATATTCTCCCTGCTGACATGGAGAATTTAGAGCTTCTTTGGTTGGGGATCATTTCCTTCATTCTCACAACCTTACTGTTTGATTCAGGGGTGATATTGTAAGGAGAAACTAGATGCTAATCACTCTTGGGGGTTGAAGGGTCAATGTGTGTCCAGAAAAACAAAAAAATTAACCAGGCCAAAACCAACAATTTTTTTACAGCACAAGCTTCTTAACCCCGTGATCCCTAAGAGTGACCAACATCTACTTTCTCCTCACAATATCATGCCTGAATCACATATTAAGGTCATGAGAATTAAGGAAATGATCACCAAGTCGAGAAGGTCTTGATTGCTAAACAAATTCTCCTTTTCAGCATCCAAGGAAATATAGAGAGAAGAATATGGATGATGATGTCAGGGTTTAAACGATTAAAACGTTTCAGTCCAGATTTGATTCTCTAACTGTTGTTAAATTTTGGATGGTAAGCTCTCACTGTTGAGATTCCAAAGGGTCACTCGTGGGATATTCTTTCCTTTAATTATACTGGTGCATTGTCAAACAACAGTTCATTTAAATTGGTTTTTTTGTGCTCTGTTTTTTTCCAGATCAGTCAAATGGACTCGTAGATATTTTAGGAGCGCTTTTTGTCAAGCTCGACCATGCAGCATGTCAATTTTGTGTCACAGCCTGGAAGAAACTTGCTGCTGCTCTCACTCAGTTCTGCGCGGCTCATGACACGAGAGAATTGAAGATATTTTGGGACGAGCGAGCTGATTGGTGGCCACAGTTTCACTTCCGTCTCAGTCTCGTTCCTAACAAGGATCACGTGTCTGAACTGGAATGGAAACTGACTCGTCATAAGGCCGAGGCTGCCAGTTGGCTCCTTGGACAAGGTACGTGTTTTGTGTGTGCACATACAAGCGTTTCATTGTGCGTTTCATAATCACTCTTGTCTAGAATTTGGGGAAAATCTTACCGACAGAAAAACACTACAATCCTATAAACTAAACTACTTTATTAAACAACGAGTGTTGATAAAGAGCGACTCCTAAACGCAGTACAGTACTTATCGTTAATAAACTTAATTAAGCCCACCACAGTCTGTATCTTAAACAGTCGGTCAATCCCGACAACATCAACTACTACTGCTACATAACTGAGTCTTTATATACATTCACTAAGTGTTCTGGAACATTTCAGAAGCTTACAAATGAGCTATTTTAGTAATATTATGTAATAACTGCGTGACTCGATGAAATGTTCCAGAAAGTTCTATGGTACTTATGTTAGCATGACTAAGCAGTCTGGAGATTTCTAGAAGCTTATATTTACAACACCAATTACTCATAACAAAATGAAGTTATGAATCCTGGGGAGTAAGCTTTAACAGTATGGCTAACAAGTTACCTATTACTTAAGAAGATATGGGATCTTGTGATAATTGAAAGTAGGCACCAATACAACACACAATGAAGTTGTTACTGAAAATAATATCATTTTCATTGAGGTAACCTAAGTCTGCTTTTGAAGATGAAACAAGCCACAAGGCCCGTATTAGTAAGCAATAAATCATTAATGATGCAACCATGATCTTCTTTTTCTTCTTCTTTATTTTCTTATTCCTATTTTCCGTTTCATTCTTCTTCTTCATCATCATCTTCTTCGTCTTCGTCTTCATCTTCTTCTTCGTCTTCATCTTCTTCTTCGTCTTCTTCTTCATCTTCTTCCTCATAATCTTCTTCGTCATAATCTTCTTCTTCATCATCTTCCTCTTCTTCATCTTCTTCTTCTTCATCTTCTTCTTCTTCGTCATAATCTTCTTCTTCATCATCTTCATCCTCTTCTTCTTCTTCTTCTTCTTCATCTGGGTCCACAGGTGATGGGTTGACTTTCTCAAATGCGCTGTTTTTAAAGATCACCCTCGTCTCTTTCTTGTCTTGAGCCTCCTCGTAGTTGTAATCTTTCTTAGGTATCCCGGCGTCTTTGAAGAATCCTTTGATGCTCCTTAGGGTCTCTTGCAGTAGCATAACGTCCGGGTTGATTCTGCTAATCACAGTCTCTAACATTTTTTTTCGGTCCTTTGCCTTGCCAGACACGTTTATGTTCCAGCTGAATACGGTTGGAGTCAAATACGCCGCCATTCTGTTGTAGTGATTGAAGCCTGAAATATAAAACCTTCAGTTTAGCGCAGCTCTTCTCAAATGTCTGCTTGTATTTCGAAATACTACAGTCAAACCTCGATTATCCGGACTCGTGGGAGCTAGACGAACTTTCAGCGAATACGCTTCAGTCCTTCGCTGGTCACTAAGTTGTCAGCAAACTTTATGATCTTTTCCTTGATCGTGGATAAAAATACGTTTATCTTGCATACCACGCCGAACGAGCCAATAGAGCGTGAAATCTCACTTAGCAACAAAGCAACTCCAAGCCAATCAGACCTCATCCGAATGTTCTTGAACCTTTTCAGACTTGAAAATTTTAGCCAAACCTAAGGATCCTGTCAAGAAAGTACACATGCCTAACCAACCATATATTTGGGTGGGATAATTCTAAAATTATCACCGCTAATCGACGTTACCACCAGCGCCTTTGTTTGGAAGCTTGGCATACCAACTCCGCCCACGCTCCTTTAATTCGTGATGATGGCGGCTTACTTCCTGACGCCTATTTACACTTCGTCAGAAAAAAGTGCAGCTAATCAGCGAGCGTATAAAAGGACCTCTTGTTGCAGCGGTTAGATCACCCCTGATTAAGGCACTAGACAGGAGTGTCGAAACGTTAGGTCTATGATTGTAAATTCTCGGTTACATTCATTAAATCTTCAAACCAGAGTGGCATCAAACCATGTCTGATTGTCCACTTGGTTGCCATGTGAACTTGAATGTATTTTAGTTACAACGCGTGCGATAGCCTGCAGGGCAGGCGTAATTTTGGCGAGCGAGTGCTCAGTAATTTCATAACGAAAATTATGGCCGCCATCTTTGATTTTAATGGCAGCTGAAGGCAGGGGAGAGAAATAAATTTGTACCAAGGGGGCGGTCGACTGTCAAAAATAAGGAGAGGGGTGGTGGTGGAGGAGTGAAGATTTCTCCCTTCCCCCGCCCCCTACCCTCACCGTCCATTCTAAGCAAGGCCGGTCGGATAACCGATCGCTGGCTTGTAACGTTAGCTCGCCTAGTTCCAATTTTGTCATGAATATTTATTGGTCATAATCAAGATCCATAGCCATATTCTTTTTAAAACTACAGCGTTGAAAAGTGGACTAAGGGCGAATTTTTTCGCTTTCAAAAGTAAAAGCAACGCTCGCACGCGTAGCCCGCAAAGCAGGCGTCTTGAGAAAAAGTCCGAATCATCGAAGTCTGGATAATCGAGGTTCGATTGTATTGCTATCACAGACTGATACAAAACCATGGCGCAACCTCCGGTCACCTAAGCTATGGTAATTTTTTTTTACCGTTTGGCATTCCTTCTCGTCTTAAAGTTACTTCACTCTTTGTACTCCCTTTTGGTAATGAGGCGCCTGCGAATGGGTTGATCAATTCTTTGCGTAGCCGCGTCGCATGTTTTAAATGAATAAGTACGGTAATCTTCCAGCTGTATCATAACAGCGTGGAGTGTCATATCGATCGTCGATATATTTTTAAAATCTTCCCGCTGACTGGGTCACATTTGATAAGCATTTCGAATGCGTCATACAATTTTGTGAATTTATGACCTTTGGTATAAAATATCTTAGCTCTTGGTAGTTTCCTAACAGCTAGTTGTAGTTTGATATGCCACATAACCAGAGTAGCTGCTCTAACAGCGTTTTTAAGATACTTAATATTTCACTAAGTAGCAGACTGTGCGCGGTCACCAGCATGGTCGAGTTGGTTTATGACAAAGATTACTTCGTGAGTTGACTGGGTTGATGAACTTATTAACCGCGTGACCGGTTTTATGGGATGGTAGACAAAAGCCCATCACTCATTTGGCTTCCAAATTGCAGAGTTTTCTCAGCACTTTGCAGGGAAGCTTTTTCCTTTTTGTCGCCTAAAGGAAAACTGGAGTCGAGTTAGAAAGCAAGATGGTGATTTTTAATTGAACTTTGGACTTGAAACTCTTGCGCATATTTTTGATGTGATATATTTTCTTTGGTTCCAGGAAACCCTTTCACTCAAGCTGTGAGGACTCAAGAACCACAGGAAAGTGAATTAGAATCGTCTTCATCTCACAGAGACACAGGATTACCACGAATAAGAAAAACAGTCAATAAAGAGCAGTGTTCACCCCGGAAAAGGAAAAACAATGACGATAGGTCCTATAAATCCAAAAGAAGAGTCCTTTGTGGACAAGTATTGGAAAAATGAATTCCCAGATCCGTTTTATTACTGTTAATTGTTTTCAAGCTTTTATTCTAACGGTATGACGTGAACTGTAAACAATTTGTTAGACAATTTGTAATTGATAAGTAAACAGGATACCAATACTTGAATAAGCTTTGTGTACGAAAAGTCAAGACTTTTCTTTACCCTACATTCGTTTCCTTTTACAAATTTCTATAAACGTTTCAATTTTTTCGCATATTTAGCGAGACAGCGATTGTTTTTTACGTTTTCCTTAGATATTTTGCGCGGGAAATTGGCGTGCAGCCGGCTAGGAATGATGCCTTTGCGCATGCCCGACGTTTGACCGCTGTCTTGGAGACGTGTTAGTGTATCGGTACGTCGGCACTGAACTGTAGGGTTAAGCCCTACCTAAGAATACTGTAAGGATTTCACACCACTGTATGTTTTGCGAACGGCAAACAGTAAAAAATTGAGCATATGCTAGGTGCCATTTTACGTTGCTGTGGTTTGTAAAACACCACGTTTAAATAAACGACAAACCAAAATCATGAACCCTGTTTTTTGCAGTTTGAACATTGAGTTATCAGTATATCTTTTTAAGAATTTGCTGAAAACTGTCCCTACTGTAATTCTATTACAAAAAAATAAAGGTTACCGATCCCATTGTTTGAGTCACTGGCACAAAGCTGATGTTCAGAGTAAATGTAATAAGAAAGATGGTAATTTTTTTCCTCGTTGCATATGAACTTCGTAATGGCCTTTCTCACTAAAGAGTCTCCGTGGCTCAGTGGCATCGGAGCGCAGAATCCGAAAGTCTTAGATTCGATTCCTTGAAGGGGACTCAGAAGGTTTTCTTTGCCCAGCGCTCATGAAAAGACGCAGAGGGGTTTTTTTTTTCCAAAATTTTTGTCAGGTCTTGCTTAAACACGAAGGCATGGTATAAAAGGAGGCTTCCCTGGGAAGGTTATGATTCATTTGTTGATCAAACGTCGATGAGTGAACCCTATGGAGAATATGGATGATGATGTCAGGGTTTAAAAGGTTAAAACGTTTCAGTCCAGTTTTGATTCTTTAACTGTTGTTAAATTTTGGATGGTAAGCTCTCACTGTTGAGATTTCAAAGGGCCACTTGTGTGATATTCTTTCCTTTGATTATACTGATGCATTATCAAAAAACAGTTCATTTGAATTGGTTTTTTTGTGCTCTGTTTTTTTACATATCAATCAAATGGACTCGTAGATATTTTAGGAGCGCTTTTTGTCAAGCTGGACCATGCAGCATGTCCATTTTGTGTCACAGCCTGGAGGAAACTTGCTGCTGCTCTCACCCAGTTCTGCGCGGCTCATGATACAAGGGAGTTAAAGATATTTTGGGACGAGCGAGCTGATTGGTGGCCACAATTTCACTTCCGTCTCAGTCTCGTCCCTAACAAGGATCACGTGTCTGAACTGGAATGGAAACTGACACGTCATAAGGCAGAGGCTGCCAGGTGGCTCCGTGGACAAGGTACGTGTTTTGTGTGTGCACATACAAGCGTTTCATCGTGCGTTTCATAATCACTCTTGTCTAGAATTTGGGGAAAATCTTACCGACAGGAAAACACTACAATCCTACAAACTCAACTACTTTATTAAACAACGAGTAATAATCTTGATAAAGAGCGACTCCTAAACGCAGTACAGTACTTATCGTTAATAAACTTAATTAAGCCCACCACAGTCTGTATCTTGAACAGTCGGTCAATCCCGACAACATCAACTACACTGCTGCATAACTGAGTCCTTATATGTATTCACTTAGTGTTCCGGAACATTCAGTCCAGAAGCTTACAAATGAGCTATTTAGTAGTATTACGAAATAACTGCGTGTCTCGATGAAGTGTTCTAGAAAGTTCTATGGTGCTTATGTCAGTATGACTAAGTAGTCTGGAGATTTCCAGAAACTTATATTTACAACACTAATTACTCAAAACAAAATGAAGCTATGAATCTTAGGTGGTAAGCTTTAACACTATAGCTAACAAGTTACCTATTACTTAAGATAATGTGGGATCTTGTGGAAATTGAAAATAGGCACCTATACAAAACACGATGAAATCGTTACTGAAAATATAATTTTCATGGAGGTAAAATTAGGCAGCTTATGAAGATGATACAGTCAACGAGGCCTGTATTTAAGCAATAAATCATTAATAAAGGATGCACTCAAGGTTTTTTTTTTCCTCTTCTTCTTCTTTATCTTCTTCTTCTTCTTCATCTTCTTCATCTTCTTCGTCTTCTTCTTCTTCATCTTCTTCTTCTTCTTCATCTTCTTCTTCTTCATCTTCTTCTTCTTCTTCGTCGTCTTCTTCTTCTTCATCTTCTTCTTCATCTTCTTCTTCATCTTCTTCTTCGTCTTCTTCTTCATCTTCTTCTTCTTCGTCTTCTTCTTCTTCGTCTTCTTCTTCTTCGTCTTCTTCTTCATCTTCTTCTTCATCTTCTTCTTCTTCGTCTTCTTCTTCATCTTCTTCTTCGTCTTCTTCTTCTTCATCTTCTTCTTCGCCTTCTTCTTCTTCGCCTTCTTCTTCTTCGTCTTCTTCTTCTTCATCTTCTTCTTCGCCTTCTTCTTCGCCTTCTTCTTTGCCTTCTTCTTCTTCGTCTTCTTCTTCTTTTCCGTTTACTTCTTCCTCTTTTCCTTCCTTTCCTTTTCCTTTTAACTTCTTTTCCTTTTCCTTCTTCTGTTTTTACTTCTGATAAAGAAAGCAGTAAAGGGTCATGATCAAGTGCTTTATTGAGCTGATCCCGCTTAAACCCATCACTTTCGAGTGTTTTGTCCAATGAAGAAAGATCGAAAGCTTTCACCTCTTTCACTTTCCAATTCTCTGTGGACTTGCCTAAGATATAGAAGTCGGTTTTTTCCTTGTTTTCCCTCCTCGAGGTTGTTGTATAAGAAGGAACTTCGACAGATGTGCTGTCGAATGAATCGCAGTTGAAGTCCACTCCGGCTATGACACAGCACTCGCTAGACTTGTGTAATCTTGCTATGATTTCGCAAACTTTAGTGGCTATATTTCCTCCATGGTTTCTGATGTTGCGGTAAGATACAAAAATTATCTCACGCTTTGTAGATATGTTTCGCAGGTGAACAACGCAAATACCATTCTTTATCATCTGTCTTTCTGGCACTTTTCCCCTTCTCAGAAATTTTGTTTCATCTTCAGGGACCATCTCTGCCAGAACTGTATTTAGGTTCACAGGTGATGGGTCGACTTTCTCGAATGCGTTGTTTTTATAGATCACCCTTGTCTCTGTCTTGTCTGCAGCCTCCTCGTAGTTGTAATCTTTCTTAGGTATCCCGGCGTCTTCGAAGAATCCGTCGACGCTCTTTATGGTCTCTTGCAGTAGCATAACGTCCGGGTTGATTCTGCTAATCGCACTCTTTAAAATGTTTTTTCGGACATCTGCCATTCCTGCTCGGCCTGACCCGTTTATGTTCCAGCTGAGCACTTTTATAGTCGAACTCTTGTCTTTAACGCTACGAGCAAGTGGCATTCTGTTGCATTGATTGAAGCCTAATGCGATCACTGATACAAAACCAGGTCGCAACCTTCTGTCATCTAAGCTATGGTAATTTTTTCCCGTTTAGCTTCCTTCTTGTCTTAAATTTACATCACTCTTTGTTCTCCCTTTCGGTGATAAGGCGCGAATGGATTGGCTAGTTCTCTGCGTCGCCAGTTCACATGGTGTAAATGAATAAATAATCTACCAGTTGCATCATCAACAGCGTGGATTGTCATATCGATCGTTAATATATTTTTTAAAATCTTCCCGGTGACTGGGTTACATTTGACATGCATTTCGTGTGCGTTGTACGATTTTGTGAATTTATGACCTCTGGTGTAAAATCTCCCAGCTCTTAGTAGTTTCCTAACAGCTAGTTGTAGTTTGATATGCCATAAAACTAGAGTAGCTCTTTTAGGAGGGTGGCATTGGGACCTATTAGAAACCGCAAAACCGTAGAAAAAATCATCCAAAACCGAAAAACCGGAAAAAATTCGATCAAAACCGAAAACCGTATGCAAAACTGTCTGAAACCGATACATTTTCAAATCCTAGTTAATAAAACCCTGATCGATCCGATACAGTGGTGACAAGTGAAGCATACAGAGTAAACTACACTAATTTCATTACAGGATTTATGAATGCTATGGACTTGGCATTCGTATCTTCTAGTATCTGCTTAAATTAACAGCTGCTCTCTCGAGGACCTCGAGCGTGGTCTCTGCGAACTCAGCAGCTGGTAATGGAGCCTAGTTAATTAAGGAAATTCGCACAAAAGTCCTCTATAGGATCGCAATTTTGCAGTCGCAAAAAGCTTTAGCTCTGGAAAGTTTCATCAAAAATCCCTAATCTAACATTTCCATTTGCGAACTAAGACCTGAAAGTTTGGAGATTCTATTGGAATATTGAATCATTCAGTCACGTGTGGCCTGTAACTTAGTCACCAAATTCGAGGTGGCGTTGATAAAGAAAATGTTCCGTGCTTAGCCGTACCCTCCCCTCCCCCCACCTTGGGGGAGGGGGAGGGTACGACCTAGGGATCCCTGCGATATTTCAATTGGTTTGTCGCGCATTCCTCTCAATAAAATTGGCGTTTAGCGGCTATTCGAGATCAGTGGAGGTGCGTAATTGCCGCTTAGATCGAAGAGAAACCGAAACCCAAATAGGTCAAGTAGGAAAGACCGAAAACCGCATCGGATATCAAATCCGAAAACCCGTTAGTATTTTTCACAGTGATCTTTATTAATTTTAGATGATAGCGCCATGACATAATTTTGCTTGATGAGAGTCGCGGTTTAGGTTGCGTGTGTGTGTGTGGTTCGAACTAAAGAAAAATACAACAGAAACTAACATTAACCTAACTAAAAATGAAGCGATTGCAGGGAAAACTGAATACGAGAACTACACCAACGATACATACAAAAGATAAACAACGTAAATGAAAAAGAAATAAAGACTTACTTTGGTCTAGCTCCTAACGATAGCAACTAACTTGTAGCGATTATCTAGCAGCGATGATTGTGTAATAATCATTAACTTACGAAAGACTTATTGATAAAAATGAACCGGAACAAAAACGATAATAAAGTGTGTATTAACTAAGCGTATCGAAACTAACAGAGCTTAGATACCTAATAGTGAGTAGCAGACCACATGTAGAAACTAGAATGGTTGGTGAACAAAAGCCCGTTACTCATTTGACTTCCAAATTGCAGAGTTTTCTACTTTACAGGAAAGCTGTATTTCGTTTCCGTCGCCTAAGGGAAAACTTGATTCGAGTAAGAAAGCAAGATGGTAATTTGTTACTAGACTTTGGACTTGAGAGCTGGTCTGTTGAAATTCTTGCGGATATCTTTGATGTGATACATTTTCTTTGGTTTCAGGAAACCCTTTCACACAAGCCGTGAGGAATCAAGAACCACAGGACAGTGAATTAGAATCGCCTTCATCTCACAGTGACACAGGATTACCAAGAATAAGGAAAACAGTCAATAAAGAGCAGTGTTCACCCCGGAAAAGGAAAAATAATGACGATAGGTCCTATAAATCCAAAAGAATATTCCTTTGGGGACAATCATTGAAAAAATGAATTCCCGGATCCGTTTTATGATTGTAAATTATTTTCAATCTTTTAGGAAACTTTTCATTTGCACGGCCGGACACGGTCCTCAAATAACTCCTTTTTTCTCTTTGAAAGATACCAATTTTCCTTGAAAAATATTCTACCTTTTTTAGAATCCTCAAGACTCTGTACACAGAGTACGAGGAGATCCAAGCGTGACACTAAGACAATTTTTTTCGAACACTACCGGTACGATCTTCGAATAACTTAAAGCCCGGCAGTTCGATATTTTTTTCGTATTTCTCTTTGAAAATTAACAATTTCTATTGGAAAATATTTTATTTTTATTTAGAATCCTCAAGCGCTTTTAGTAGGTGAAAAAATTCGAACGTTGTCCTTTTCGCCGACCCTGTCCCAGAGTACATAGAGATCTAAGCGTGACACTTAAAAACATTTTTCTTCGAATTCTACCAGACAAAATTCAAAGTACTGTAAGGAAAGTATAAAACGACGAACAGCGAATGTATTTACCCTAAAACAATTGACTATATGTCCAGGATGGCTCTTGAGAAAGACGATTTTAGAAGGTCTTCAGTAATCTGGGAGTTTGGTGTTACGGGAAATTGGGTCGCGGCGCGCGTTGCATCAAGGGTGAAAATGGGCCTTTAAGTAGTGATCATTAATCCGAAGATCGCTTTTATATTTATTTCTTTCTCTGCAGTTCACATATATGATTTTCATATATTTACAGCCATACGCAGAAACATCTTTTGTTATGATTCTAAGGGTGTTTGCAAGAGGGAGCATAAATACCATGGTAACGCTACAGTGATCTTATCTTTTCTTGAAGAGAAAAAAGGTTTTTTTTTGCCACCATCTACGAAATGTTTTACCATGTTCAACGAAATAGACAAACGCATGACATTATCGATTAAGTAATTATTTGATGTTCTGAAAAAGGAAATGAAGCTACTAACTACGTTAGACCGGAAGTAGTTGATCACAACGTGGCGTCATTTATGAAACTCCACGTATTCGAATGTGCTACCACTGGCACTTTGTGATTGCGGCTTCACAAATAGTTGCCGGCGTCAGTGACATGGCAAGTTTGACTCACTTAGTCCTCAATACACTTGTTTCGTCGGTGTCACCTGTCGAGGAAATCATAATTGTGATAGAAGATGTCTCTAGACTCTGAAGTTCGTAAGAGATCCGACATGATGGAAGAAACTGGCCCAGATCCAGATCCTGTTATAACATCGTCAGGAAGTACGATGAAAACCACAACTACAACTTGCAAGAACAATCGTAAATGGCTACTTTTGAACACACATTTGAACGCTGCTATTTATTCTTCCTGTTTCTGGGTTCAGATTGGAGTTTTACCGGTACGTGAAAATATTTAAGACAATTTTATACATGAGTTTACGTAGAATCTTGTGTTCGGTTGATTTGTTTTCAAATTGCATCCTAAGGAAGGCAAGGCAATATTGATCGTTTGTCACGAAACAGTGGGAATGGCGGAATTAGATCAAGTTTATTCAATTTAGTTTGAATTCTTTCCTCTTTTCTTGGAAAAGCACGCTCTTTTATGTCTACAGAAAAATAAATTTTTCCTTGCAGTTACCGTGGAGCTTTCAGCTAAAAGCGGGAATTGAAAATTTTTAAATAATCTGCTGACATTCGACAATGAAGATGGAGAGTCAACAAATGCACCCACGAGTTATCCCAAAATTAATTTAAACTGAAGCCAGTATGGTTTTCTAGGTAATTGCACCTGCTAATGAAAACTTGAACGTCAGATACACTATTCAGCAGAGATACCAACTTGTGACACTTGTCATGTCAAGGGAAAGTAATGTTGAATTTTCCATTCTTTTCATCAAACCACCTTGTGAATTGTCCTTCTCAAGCCATACAGAGTACTTGAAGATCTTCTTGTCACATCGCTTGAAAAATTTGCCATCTTAAGGGGTCAGGCTTATTAATTCTTACTGAGGGGAGAGAGAGGGAGTTGGAAGATTTGGTTGCATCACAATGAAATTTACCTGATCCCCCTATAAGGTCCTATAGTATTTTGCTGACCCCCCCTTTATTGACAGTCAATTTTCTATAGTCTCCAATTTATACTCTGTTAGCAATGACTGATACCCCCCCTCTGTTCCCTATGAAAAACATGTGATCCCCCCTAAAATCCCCCCCCCCTCCGTGCATGGGATAAATGATGACTAATCCCTAACTCTCTATGTTCTGAAACAGTCATGTCAGTTTTTAGGAAAGGTTTGGTGACCTGTGTGAAGCATGACAAGATTTGCCGTGAGAGTTGGTATGTCTGTATAGCATGAATTTTTTTATTTCTATTAATCCATGTGTATTTCACTTTTTCATTCTATTAGTATTTATCCAAGAAGCTTGGAGCTGACCCAGTAGTCTTTGGCTACCTTCAGACCACATTTGCTGTGGTGCAGTTGTGTGGTGGACCAATATTTGGAAGATTTGGAGATATTTTTGGAAGCAGAGCTGCCCTGGTTTTGTCTTTTATGGCAGCAGCCATGAGCTACACAATTCTTGGTTTGGCATCAACTGTAAGCATGCTGTTTCTGTCAAGACTCCCTTCCATTTTCATGCATGCAATGCAAGGTTAGTA